GTCTGTTGCAAGTGAAAGGCGAGGTGCTATTAGTATGTAGCTCAGTAGAGGCAAGTTTTACCTTTCAAATGTTTTGTAGTAGTAAGATTGACAGGCTGTTTGGTTTTAAAGAAATTTCTCTCACTAATCTTAGAATTTTGTTCAGGTTCAGCCAGTCTCCTCTATCTAGTCCAAGGTTTCTGTGCCTCTCTCTGACATTTGTTAAGCTTATGCCATCCAAAAATGCCAGGATACTCAGTTCTACAACAAGATGAAGCAACCTACTTCAGATAATACCTTGAGAAAGAGCAGATAAAGTTTGAAAGTCAAACTTTTTTTCATTAGAAAAGAGAATTTCATTAGAAAACAAGGTTCTTAGATTTCCTTGGCAGAGTAGGAACAATATGCTTGCTTCTCTTTCATGTACAGTTGTTGTTGTTGTTTTGACTTGTATACCACCCATAATGCTAGAGCACTCACTGGGTGGTTTACAACATAATTATGCAAACAACACTTTGCCCCCACCGCCGCCCCCTCCCCAGCAAGCTGGGGACTCCTTTTACTAACTTTGGAAGGATGAAAGGCTAAGTAAACCTTGAGCCAGCTACCTGAAGCCATCATGATCTAACTCAGATTGTGAGCAGAAGCTTGACTGCAGTGCTGCAGTGTATCCACTGTGCCATGGGGCTCAGTTGCAGTACTCTAAGCTTCCTTCAAACTGAGGATTGTTTGAAATCTCTCAGTCTGGAAGCTGTTTCTACCATAGTCTACTCATGAGGATCCTACATCACTGTTCCTTTTTACCTAATCAAGCAAGGATGTACTGTATATTCATGATAATTAAATCCAGAGTAGTAACACCTTAATGGACACTTGATTTGCAGATTTAGAAAATATTGCTTACAGAAGAAGGCTGTAATTTAAGGCTATTAGTTTTTAAGAAAATTGCATAGAAAATATTCAAAATGGTTGAATAAGCACAGGGAAAAAATAATAACATCAGTGCAATAGTGCCTCTACTAAATACATAAAAAGCATTCACAAATTCATATAAAGCATATCCTAGTTCAAATATAAATCAGATTACAATATAAATAACATAACAGTGACTCTAAGTACAAAAAAACATATGCTTTATGATTTAAAACTTTCCTACCATGAATTAAATGAGTCACAATGTTTATAAGGGGAAATTTCTGTTCTAGTTTATAAAGTTTTGGAAAAATAATCTTACAGATAAAGTTTTTTAAAATTGAAAAAAGTAGACCACTAAAATGGAAAGCTGTGATTTAGACATACAGTCCTAAAAATCAATTTTTTGAGCCGTTGTGGGTTATTGTGGGTTTTGCAGAAATAATAGTAGGATTTCCAATCAAGCAACACCACACACAGTTGTGAGTAAGGCTTCTGAGTTTTCCAGAACTCTTCTCTGGCTGTTAAGCAAAACAGGGGTGAGGGGTTGAAAGAGTATGCTGTTAAGGCCCTAAATTTTACTGAACAGGAGGTATTATACTGTTATCCTACACCTCCAGAACTCTTCCCTGGCTGTTAAGCAAAATGGGGGTGATAATACCTTACTTAACAGGAGGTATTATACTGTTATCCTACACATGTTCACTTGGAAGTAATCTCCACAGGTAGTAGATATTTATCTGAGAGAGTATACTGTATCCCACAGAACTAAAAAGAAAAAGAAAAAACACAATAGATTAACCAGCCATGCTCAGCTTTTATCCATCCAGATGTTCCAGCCTTCAACTCCTAGGATTCTTGACCATTGACCCTGCTAATTGTTGTTCTGGCAGGCGATACCCAAAACGTCTAGAAGAAGCCTTCACCACCACCTCTGCTGGCCAGGATTTCTAGGAGTTGAAGTCCAAAAACATCTGGAGGCCCAAGATTGAGGACCACTGGTCTAGAGGATTAAGGCTGAGAACCAGTGAATTAAATAGGCCTGGGAACATAGGATGGCAGATTCCCTTGCTGAAGCTAAGCCTGGCAGAGTCCTATCATGCCGTCAATGACAACCTAGCAACTCCTCAAGTACCCTTCACTTTGAGCCTTATAATGGGAGGAAAAGGGTGGATTTCCTTCTTCTTGAATAACATTAATCAACAATTGTCATGTACTTACCTGTGTTTTATTGTCTGATTTTGTATTGGAAGGCGCCTAGAGTGGTCTGGTAGTCCAGATAGGTGGGGTATAAATCAAACAAACAAACAAACAAACAAACAAATAAATAAACAAATAAACAAATGCATATTTAGAAATAAGGAGGGTGACTATATTGACAAATAATATGGGAAATACTCCAAGACGGAGATGTGCAGAATCGTATTATTTTTCCATGACGTACAAATCAATGTGAATCGGTTTGGAGTCCCCACCCCACCCCCTCTGTACCTTTTCCCTCTGCTTCTGGACGTCTTTTTTTCTAACTGGATGCATTTGCATTGTTTCAGACAGTGTGGCTGCTTGGGCAACCGGAAGTTGGCTAGTTTGGAGTCCCCACCCCACCCACTCTGTACCTTTTCCCTCTGCTTCTGGACAGCTGCTTTTTTTCTAACTGGATGCATTTGCATTGTTTCAGACAGTGTGGTTGCTTGGGCAACCGGAAGTTGGCTTTTCCTGCTTCTTAGTTCAAGGGATGTCAATCCTCAGCTAATGGCTGCAAACCATTTTTAAAGGATTAATACCAGTACTAATACACTAGGCCACCTAGGAGACAAAAAAAGCGGTTGGGGGAGTAAATCAGCCCATGTTTACAAGACCAGCTGGTGGAAGCCCATTTGCTTTAGCCAGCCAGCCAGAAGTCAGAAAGGAGAAAACTGACAACCACCCCTTGTTTCTGGCTTGTTAAGGCAGCTCTGCTGTAGCCATTCAGATCTTCATGAGGCATGGGTACAAGAGCTACCTTAATAAGCTGCAAACATGAGCTGGTTGCTAACTTCCTCCAGTCTCTCTGTTGACTCCTGGCTGGCTGGCTAAAGCAAATTTACCCGAGGAAACCTGGCTTATCAGCAGGGCTTGAAACATTTTAGAAAGTCTCACCAGTCAGTAAAAAATTTCACCAGTCACCATGACTGAACTATAGCCTTGCAATTTATTGGGATTGGAAATCACTGATTTATACCCTCATACTTTGGTTTCTTTGTTACTTGCTTGTCTGTGGGGTCATGAAGCTTGTACAGTACAGTATTTTGAATGCCTTTCTTTTTAATATCTCCAGCAAAAATAAAACTGAAAGCAAAAGCGCTGGGCCTCTTAAGGAGCTACAGTTCCCCACCCACCCCAGGGTGTGTCCTCATTTGGTTGAAATTGGGAGCAGTAAGGGATTACTCTACAGTGGGGTCTCTACTTAAGAACTTAATCCGTATTGGAAGGTGGTTCTCAAGTTGAAAAGTTCTTATGTTGAATCTGCATTTCCCATAGGAATGCATTGAAAACCATTTAATCCGTATCTGCTCTTTTCTGTCCATAGAAACTACAGTGGAACCTCTACTTAAGAACTTAGTCCGTTTTGGAATGGTGTTCTTAAGGTGAAACGTTCTTAAGTTGAAGCAAAGTTTCCCATAGGAATGGACTGAAACCCAATTAATCCGTTCTGGCTGGTTTTTTTTTGTTGTTGTTATGTAGAGGGGCGTTCGTACATTGAAGCATTAGTACCCATGGGAACTAATGCAGAGCTGGTTAATACGTACTCTACCACTAGGGGGAGAATTTTTTTTTAACCTAAGATGACCTAAGGTTAAAAAAAGAGCAGGAAAGGTTTTTTTTTCCTGTTCTTATCTTGGATTTCTGTTCTCAAGTAGAAGCAAAATTTAGCAAATGGAGCTGTTCTTAAGTTGGATTGTTCTTAAGTAGAGACGTTCTTACGTAGAGACCCCACTGTACTTTGTCCTGCAGAGCTATACCTCTGTGTACCACTCAAACTCTCTTCTCACGAGAAGAGGGCAGTTTTCCTTTTGCAATGGGAGGAGGAGGAGGGGAGGACTGCAGGATTAGAGAGAGAGAGAGACAGGCGGAGGGGAAGGAGTTAGGCACCGATGGAGCTGTGACTCATCAAGCAGCATTTTTCACTTCAAGCCCTGCTTATCAGGTGCAAATTCACAGCAGATCACTTCCCACTTTTCCCACAGTGTAACTGCACCTTCATTCCCCTGGAGCTAAATAAAGCTTACTTTTAGATAAGTGGGCACAGGACTACAGTTATACAGCATCCTTCATTTTCATCGCCTATATTTGTAAATATTACATTATGATAAACATCTAGGAAAAGGAAGGAAGGAAGGGTAAAATGATTATTTTTACTCAATATAGCACACTGCAGAATTTGGGTTTACTGTGTCAAAGAAGCAATTTGAAATAGCAAATCTTTACTGTTTCCAAGCCTGTGGAGGCAAACCCAAACAACAAAGAGAAACAACCAATGGTTCGTACAGTGCTAACAACAGTCTGAAACCGCAGCTCCTAGTACAGCCGAACTGCCTGAGTGGGGTGAGTGTCAGCCATGAGCATGCTCCACACACTCGTAGCCAAATTCGGATTTGTTCATCTGGGAAGTGGAATGGGTGCCACTCTCCGTCTGGAAAGGACGAGAAGTTGGGAAATTATTTTTTAGACCTCCCAATGGGCATGTTGGCCAAACCAGCGTTCTTTCATCGTG